TAGAGCCTTTTTAGTGCTCTTCTTCTGAACTAAAATTTCTCATAGATATTTAAAACATGAAATAATTTGAAATATTTAAAGCTGTAGCAGCCCTGAATTTAAAAGAATCTACATTCATTTTTTCGTTTTTTGCGATTAGATTTTTCTTTCTCTAAATATAACAGTTAGCATGAGAAAAAGTTTTGTGTATTGACTTTACTTACAAATATTATTTATATATTTTTTTTTACTTTTGTTAAATACAAACTATTATGAAAAAAGTATTTTTGGATCGTGAAAATTTTTTTTCTCGGAGAACACGAATTGATCTAGTAAATCTTAGTATGAGGCATTATTGGTATGGCCAACAGCTATCAAACCTGATATTTTCGCACTAAGGTTTTTTTGTGTTCCACAGTGTTATACAAGGGATACTTTGAGGAATCATATAAGGAATTATACATTACCCAAGTCCACGTATATCCAAGTTCGTGTCATACAGCAAGCATTGACTACTTTTTAAAGTTTTATTTATTTGTTTTTGAAATTGACGACATATTTCAGAATTTGTAATTAATACGTTGTGTTCATTTTAGTAAATCCACTTTTTTAATTGTACAAAATTTATTATATACATACAGTATCGGTCATATCAATAGCAACCCCATTTCAAAGTAATATTATTTCCCTCTCATGTTAATTTATTTATTGCTAAGAATTTGCAACAAAATTAAAGTTGAATTTCTAACAAAACTCATATAAACCGAATTTTAAAACTTCGTAGAAAACTACAAAAAATACAACAAATTTTCAACCAAAATTCAAACTTTTTTCTCAGAAGTGTTAGAATTTTTTTGAGCACTCAGTTTTATAGCCCCTTCAATTTTAGTCTAATTATATGCAAGTTTGAAGTGGCTATAAATGACCTTAGTTTTTTTAGAATCGATTAAAAACAAATCGTGTTTAATCGTCTTCTATATAACGAAAACTTCGACCATATATCGATGGCTGAGTAGAAGATCGACCTATCTCGGCAGCCACGTCGAAAACGCCCGATATCAGAAAGCTTTTCAACGCCCTATTTCAAAATTTGGCTGAAAAACGCCCTATTTTAGAATTTGATTGAAAAATGCCCTATCTCGGAACTCGGTTCAAAAACACCCTATCTCAGCACATTTTCGAAGTATTTTTATTTGAGATAGGACTTTTTTGAACCGACTAATAATAATAAAATATGTACTATATACATATCTAGTTTCAATGTAAAAAAATTTATGTACACCATTAATTGTGTATACATATCTAAGTCAATATATGTGATATACATGTACATACATCTACATACATATCGTCGTTTAAAGTACAAAACCATGTATCAATAAATTGCAAAACCGCGTATAGAGATAATGCAAACCCACGTATGCGAGGTTGCATAAATTAATTTCTAGAGAGTAAAAACATTCATATTTCAAAATGGTTATCTTTTTATAAAAAGCAATCGCATTTTTGGCTAGTATATTTCAGGAAGAATGGATAAGGATTGATCCAAAAACGTGTGTGAGCGAATCCAATTTTTAGCAGCAAATGTCAGTTACGCGGTTTTGTACTTTAAGCGACGATATGTATGTTAACAGGAACGCAGCAATCTAATACACGGGTGGAGCAGGAACGCAGCACAGCAGAAGCATACAAAAAATCTGCAAATAAATGGTTTTTTAGGTTTTTAACAAACGAGAACCTGGTTTCAACTTACTTCAACGTGTCTAAATCACAACGCACACACTAATGCAAAGGCGCAACAGGAACGCAACACTATAAAATACGGGCGGAGCAATATACAGGCGGAGCAGGAACGCAGCACAGCAGAATCGTCCGAAAAATCTGCGAATAAATGGTTCCTTAGGTTTTGAAATAACAAAGAGCTCAAATGGAATGGTTCATCAATAAAGTCAAAATAATATGTTGTAACTTACGTGTATTAGCTCTTAATCACAATACCAGCACAGGTCGGTCAGCGAAACACTAAGGAAATGACCTAATAAATGCAAAATTATAATTTATTTGTAAAATAATTCGGTTTTATTACAATACTTACCAAATTTCACGCAATTGGAAAACAAATGTCAGCGAATAAGAACAAAACGAACAACGAAAATTGAATCAATGTAGCTTGTTCAGAATTTTTTTCTAATATTTTGGGAAATGTTCAGTGAAAATAGCAAAGAAACAACACTGTTTCTCCTAAGGTAGTTCAAGATGGCGGATTAGAGCGAGAAGTTGCCAACGTATAACACCTTTCATTATTGCATCATGGATTTCAGTCAAATTTTCAGAGGTTATACCTTGCATATATCGTCCTATTATAGGCTACCAGAAAACTCGCTAGATGGCACTGGGGTCGAGTTATTTATAAAAGTCGTATTTATAAACCGATTTCGTTCAAATTTAAAACGTGTGCTACATCCGTGATGAGAAATACGTATACGAAAAATAGACTCGCTAGGTGGCGCTGGAGTCGAGTTATTTACAAAAATCGTATTTATGAACCGATTTTTTAAATTCAAAATGTAACCTACCAGCATGACGGAAAATACGTTTACCAAGAATAGACCCGCTAGGTGGCTTTATGAACCGATTTCGTTGGCCCTCCTATAACTGAAAACTGGTTAACGAACCAATGTTGAAGTTGTAAATCATAGAAGAATATTACTCACGCTTGGCAGAGATCTCACAGGTGGAAATAAGACCATCGGTAAAATTCATAACATCGAAAGGGATTAGTATTCCATATGGTATCACTACTATTCTTAGCCTATGTGTGAGGAGGATTCTGCTCTTTATTCGTCTCAATTTAAACTAAAAATGTTTACGCAAAAGATCTTATTAGGCTCTGCGAAGCAAGCGGGCATTGGCTAGTAAATTATAATTGAACAGCCGAAACTTAACTTAATGCCACGTCGAAATCTGTTTCATTTTGATTATCTAAGTTCTACGTTCCGTTAAGTTGAATTAAGTTGCCATAATCAGGCTTTTAGACTTAATACATGCTTTCATATCGTCCCGTTTCTGCCTTAACCACGTATCTACAATTTTTGGGAAAACTAATATTACCACTTATAACAGCTGTTTAAGCGTCACACTATTTAAAAATACAACAAAGACTTAATGGGAGTGCTCACTACTGTTAGTGGAACCAGAAATATTAAGTAAAAAAATGCGTTTATTGTATCCTAGGGGAAGAAATTAAGCATTTTTTCTTACACTCTCTAAAATACCTTTTTTATGGGAATCCTGCCTCTGTCTAGCCGAATTCCATTTTTCCAACGCTGAAGTGGCATGCACAACAGTACATATCGCTAGCTTAGAGTGAAAAGTTGCTAAGTCCACTTTTTATGAAAACTCATATTTTGATATAGGAGGCTAGAGAAATTGAATACGCATCGTTTCGAAAATTATAAAGGTACTTATTTTATTTTTTCCTCTTCATAAGCAATAAAATGAAAATTTGCTAAGTCCCAAAGAAGCACCACAAATCCGATAAGGCCAAAATAATACGACATCTTTTAATAAATATCGAATCCTTCTGATTCTTATGGACTTTTGCTTTGCTTTAAACGCGCAAAATGTTTGATTTAAAGTCTTAATAAATAGTTAAAGAAAATGGCTATAGGAAGATTTTTTCCTCTCCTGTAAAATTTTTAAAATGGGACTTAGCAACTTTTCTTTCTAAGCTAGCGATATGTATGTCTATTTGTTGGGCACCATGGGAATTCGGCACATTGTTTTCGCGAAGTTGATAAATAAGCAAGTGCGTTAAAGGCTGAGTTTTTGGCTTATACAAAGTGGATTTTCGTTACTAAATATAAAAAAAAATATCTTTGAAATAACAGAATAGTGCGAAGTGTTTAAAAATGCCTAAAGTTGCAGCGGCGCAAATAGAAACGATGCCTACAATCGGAATTAGACCTGCGTTTATTTATCGACCTCATATCAATTATATGTAGGTGATTTTTACAATAAAAGTCTATCTACACATATCAGTGCCGTACCTATCAGTGTCAGTGAAAAATATAATATCGTTGCCCCAGTCCCAAATAGAGTTGTTCAGACCGTCCGGCACAATGCCGTTTTTTACCGTCAGTGCTGCTTCAGTGTTCGTTCCGCAATTTTTGTTATACACTCTAAAAAGTGCATGTAAAACTACTACTGAAAAGTGTTTATTTTTCAACCAGAATCTGTTCAAGTATACGCACAAGATGTTCAAGATTTGATTTTGAACATGAGTTGTTTAAAATATACACATAAATATACACATGAAATGTTTAAAATTACGAACATTTTGAAAGTAAAAAAATATATGTTCTACACATAATAAATACTAAATGCCAGGGGCGCACGCAGGAATATATTTTTAGGGTGAAAGAGTTTATACTTCTAAATATATATCATCAGAAAATACTGAAAATTCGCTCTTTAAAATACGTTTATGCAAGTTTTATGTACAGAATGAAATAAAAAAAATAAATTTTTTAAAGTTTCATAAATTGCATTTTATTTACATAAAATTTACAAAGAACTCAGACATTTTCAACCGGCTTCAAAAAAGGGGAGGTTATCAATTCTTCGGAGTATTTTTATTTCTTTTATTTATTCCACCGCATAACTTTGCACTGCGTGAACCGATTTTTTTTTACCGGAAAGATAATACCTTAAAGGTCGTCCCGTAATTTGGTTTAGATCCGCTCATTAAATCATGAAAAAATTAACGGTTAAAGATGCACTCAACTTTCAAAAGTAATACAAAATTTTACAAAAGAATTTTAATATAAATAAATTAAATAATTTCACGAAAATTTTTACAATTTTTTATTCATTTTCGTCGATTTCTGGTTTCTCATTTTTTAATACTTCGAATAACGAAAATTTAGCTGAACATGTATTTTTATCATGTAGCTCATTTTTATGGAACGAATTCCAAGTTAGCAAATTAAATCTTCGAATGCTTGTTAAGTACATATCAGTGTAAACTTTTTTAGGCTGTAAAGTGTGAAAAGCAACTGTAGGTGAGCATGCATTGCATATTTTTAGGACAATGTTTTCATTCGCAGTTAAACTTTAAAGAGCTCTCAAGAAAAAAGAAAAATTCTTACGAAATGATGCACAAGAAATGGAAAAGAAAAATTTTTCTATCAAAATTTCTTAAATCATAATAAATTTAACCCCAAAACCCAACCCTTGTATGCGCTACGTGACAAATTTGATATGTAAAAGTAAACAGACAGTGTTTAATTTTGCACACACTAGGAGAGGAAACTGGTTACCTCTCTTTATTTGCGTAAATTTAAACGAAAATTTTTTAGAGTAAATTTTAAACATTTTATGTGTAAACTATGAAAATGTGAACAATAAATGTTTAAAACTCAAAAAACCAATTAGAAATTTGTTCTACGCCACACATATGATAAGTAAAAGTAAGCAAGCAGTGTGTAAATTTGCATTCATTAAGAGAGGAAACTGGTTACCTATCTTGATATGCATAAATTTAAACAACAATTTTTTAGAGTGTACACTCTAAAAACTGCATGTAAAACTGCTACTGAAAAGTGTTTATTTTCAAACAAAATCTGTGACTGGATTTTTGAACATGAGACGTTTAAAATACCCACACGAAATGTTTACAATTGTAAACGTTTTTAACGCAAAAATACAGTCCCTTTAAAAAATAAAAATTAAGTACATTTGATTTATAATTTTGCTCTATGCGACAAATTTGGTATGTAAAAGTAAACAGGCAGTTTCTAATTTTATTAACACGGTGTCTTAAATTTGCACACATTAGGAGAGGAAACTGGCAACCTCTCTTAATATGCGTTAATTTAAACAAAAAACTTTTGGAACAAATTTTAAACATTTTAAGTGTAAACTGTGTAATTGTGAACACTAAGAAAATTCTATAGAAATTTTGGTAGTTAAGTTTATTTAATGATTTAACTATATTTAAAAATGGTTAAATT